TGGGCAGGAAACAATTTCCAAAGAAGGCTCACAGACGAGACTGCGACAAAGGAAAGAAAGGCTTATGGATGGCTCTGATATTGCCTTTTCCTTCAGTTTAGCAAACTTACATGTATATGGTCCAGCCTATTTATGGCAAGTGGGCTGTTTGTGTCGTGTGTGTACCTGGATGGAGGGTGGGGAGTGGAGGGTGACTTCTGGTTTTTCTTTCTTTTCTATTATATATCAATATTATCTACAGCTAGTAGCTATACTATAAAAAAATGTTTCATGTGTGTGGCAGCCATTAATTGCACACACATTAATTCCTCATTTTCTCGACCTCTCTTTGTGTACTTTTATTGCCCCATTACACCTAGTGAAAGAACTCAATGATTTGGGTGTTGCTCCAGTCATTTTATATACAACAATAAAACCAACTTGTAGAGGCCAACACGTAGTAAAGATACACATGCACAACTATATTATAGCTGAGCATATCCAATAGAGAGGGAGTCTTGCCGTGCTTTTGAGGCTCTTTCAACAAGTGCTTGCAATACAGCACACTATACTTTCCATAGACAATATATGCAGTTTCAGAGTTTACATTGCACAATGTTTTGTTCCACACACACAGAGTTATGTATATATATACAGTTGGATTTATGTAAATGAATGTGTGTATTTGGGCCACTTCACAAACCCGGAATTGCCATGCTGTGTTTTCTCAGATGATGACATTATACACTTTCTGATTGGATAATACATTATTATGAGGAATGTGGCATTCGTTTTTGGTTTTGTAGGCTTGAGAGACGACGCCATATTCTCCATTCATCCCCTTATGCACATGACTTTCCCTCAAGACATGATGCCAAAATGTCACCGTGAAAAGATTAAACGGTACACAGCACTGATTGAAAATATGCACCTAACTTGTCGTTGATGCTCAAATTATCTCTGGTGTATAGACATTTGAGGTGACAGATACACACTTTGTGAACATCATGGTCTAATTATTGTCCGTGACTTGTCAACCTCACTCTCCCAAGGAGTTTCAGTTAGGAATTTCTGCATACAGAGCCTCCTCTGTTGGTGATGATATAGTGACGGATGGTGGCATATCATGAACTACGCCAACTACTACACCATAGGCCGGGTTATTCTCTGTAGTGACTCTGGTCTTTGAGCGTGATAGCCTCTTAGCACACGGTAAAGATCTGTTATATAGGGCTCCACAGTTTAAAACGGTAGATCATTACATGGGACACTTACCTGTTACACAAGAGACACACAATGAGGACTTCACAAGTGGAAGTCAGTACTCCAAAAAGCACAATTCCAACGCCAATCATGATAGCATCTCTATAATCCTGTGTCATTTTGCCTTGTTTCAGCAGTTTATACCGAGTTCTCTCCTGTGCTGTATGCATTTGCAAGACCCTGAACCTCATCCCAAGTCAAATTTACACAGATCTCCTAATAAACTTCCCCTCACACAGCTATAATCTTATCACTACACCAAATATACCAGGATATTGAGGGGTAAAATACCTTTTTTCAGCTTCTTCTGAGACCCCTCGGTAACAGACTACTAGACTATACTCCTGCGAATACGTCGGCCGAAGTCTCGATAACGGGACATTGCGCATGCGCACATACTTTAGCGGTTGCAGTCCGTTGCATAACGCAAAAGCTTCTAACTTTCCATGGACCCTCTATAGATGAAACTTCCACTTCAAAAATCTCTTATAGCGGGAAACGTTTGTACGCGAATCTCTGTCCCCGACTCGAGGGGCTGGACATCGGTCTTCGCGCACAAGCTGTGTACTATAGACGCGATAATCGGCTACGTAGAATACTGAATTGAAATATCGGACACCGAGGTGCGAACCAAGGGACGGGACCTCGTGACAAAGCTCTGTCGCATTCGTATATTATATTTACTTTCTCATGTAGCAGTGATTTGAGACTTCACAGGCTCCTCCTCGGATTTTAGATGCACATAAAATCTGTAAGAGAGTGGGTCATGGATTGGGAAGAAAAACTCTTATGTAAAACAATGCATGTGACCTTTGCCAGTAAGTTACCTACTAGGGTTATAGACCATTAGCTAACAGCTGTCAATGGAGAAAACCGACAAACCCTGAATTCTTGAAAGGCCAATACAATGCATGATGGATGCCCATGAATGACAAACACTTAATATGCAGGGACATGCGCCAAATTCGCAACATTAGTAATTCTATTTTTTAGTTTAGGGAACTAGCTACTGCATTATGAGCTGCAGCTGTGTTTCAACGTTTCCATGTGCAATAGCTCAGTAATAATCACAGAAAATGTGAAGGCAATTGCGGAAACGCTCTAATAGCTATATAGCTACCATGTTTGAGTGATAATTGAAAAATACACCAGTGTGGTTCACTCTTTGGACATGCTATCTCATAGTTCGTAGCTGGGAATTTGTTCATACAGAGCCTCTTCTGGTGGTGAGAATGTCACAGTAGTATCCATGCCTGCAGTTGGTGACGCACCATTGGGCTGGTTGCCTTCTGTTCTTGTTCTCTTCTTTTTCCACATGGTGATGATCTGTTTATGTGCATAGTGGTGAAAGCTTTACAATAAAGCACTTGCTATCGAGGTGTTTTTTTACACACAGTCTAAATGGAGCTACATCCACACTGACCTGTTACACAAAAGACATACGATGCAGACTTCACAGGCAGCAATAAGTAGCTACTCCAGCAAAAGCTATTGCAACACCAATAACAATGGGATCTCTTAAAACTTTTACTTCTGTCATTGTCGTTAAGCTCCTTTCAACCTTGCAGCAGTTTGGTGCTATATAGCTATATACAAGTCACTCTTCTCCATCTACAAGAATTCCTTTTGCAACTACTAACTTCCACTATATACCATTATGAAGTATCTTCAGTGATTTGTCATATATACCGTGGGCTGGAGTATAAGGGCCGCCCATGCTTACTGCGCATGCGCGCGCGTTGCTCCTCGCAAACGTCTGCTCACACCGATATCTCTCACTGCTGCACTAGTAATTCACTGCCTTCCAGGATGAGAGTCACGTAGCTACAAACCAATGCCCTATGCGAAAAGCATCAGAGTAGTAAGTACCTAGGGAGCACGCGCTTCACGGCCGGAGTTTCGGCCGTGACACAGTGGAATTTTGTCCGGTTTGGAATGCTCGCAAGCCCACACAGATACACACAGCCTAGCTACTATAGTTGGAGTATGGAATTATCTTTTCACTGCCTCGCTGCGCATGCGCACCTAAGGACAAGAGAGGTTTACACATCAATTAATTATTAAGTACATGGCCTTGCTGTGGTGCGTGAGCATTTCCCTATATATGCATTTTACTCCACGTGTGTACATGGAAGTGAGTTAACTCACTGTAAATTCACTGTATTAAAACACTGAAAATTAAGACTATATACACACTCACAGCTACATACTGTCAGCTATCTGCTCTAGTGATAGTGCAAACTACTCGTCTTTTGTCTCCTCTGTAGATGACTCATTAGGATTTGGTGTTTCGTGCACACCATATGCTTGATTATCCTCTGTGTTCACTTTGGTGTTAACTCTTTGTTTTGATAGTGATGACCTAGGTAACCTTAGTAGTTGTAAAGGAACTACACAAAACGGTCACTTACCTGTTATAGAAAAGGCATCCAATGACAGCTCCACTAAATCCCAATACTATTCCAATACATGCCATGGTAGCACCGATAATAACAGATTTCCTTGACTCTTTACTTGTTGAACCTAGGAAAACCAGGTGTTCACGGTTGCTGATATATAGAGACGAGCTTACCTGGCAGTGTCATCACAGTGACAGGATGACTGTAGACACCCACATCTCCCTGTTCATTGACTGCAGCTACTGCAATGGAGTAGTTGGTGGAGGGAGTGAGCCCACTCAGTTCAGTCTCTGCTCCTGAGCTCCAGTTTCCAGTCACTTCTTTAACCAGTCCGCTGGACTGGGCCCTGTACTGTACTCTATACCTTACAATGACACCATTGACAAGTCTACATGGAGAGAGGCCACTCCACTGGACTGAGATGACTGTGGAGCTAAGATAACTGCCATTGACTCTGCCGGGAACTGCTGCACTTCCTGAGAAGAGTGACCAATCTTACCTACATTACTTGCTTACCTCTCTGAAGCGTAGTCAATCTGGTAGCTTCACTCCCCACAGTTTTGCCCCACTTGTCACTGAATGCTACCACAGTCACTGAGTATGTGGTGTATGCTCTCAACGAGGAGGTATCATTTGATCCTACATCTTCCCCCACAGTAATACTGGCAGTGGGAACATCAATTACTGTCACATTAGCAGAATGAGAATCATCCCTGCACAGTCCCTCCTGATCATCCCCCACTGCTGCACTGAATGAGACTGTGTAGTAGTCAGCATCGTCCACCGCCTCCCAGGACACTCTGACTGAGGTTCTCTCTGAGCCATCCACCACCACACCTTCTGGACTCCCTGGGTGGTGGAGGGGGGTCTACCATCCTATGTCGTGTTTGTGTTACTAGATGTGTTGGGATTTATTAATTCCATATAAAGGTGCAAGTGCTGTGCTTGTGTAGCCTTTTGTTGTGTGTGTTCATCGTAACACTTACACAGTGTGATAGTCTCCCAGGCACTCCTTCGAGGTAGGAATGGCTCCTCTGAGAGAGCCATCACTGAGATGACATAAATTGATGTAGCAGAGCTAACTGTGATCTCAGTACTAGTGGAGGGTATGCTCTTATTCCTGGTAACACTACCATCATAGTAGAACACAACATAGCCAGTTACTGCGGCCCCTCCTGGTGGCTGACTCCACTCCACTCTCACAACAGTGGGGGAGACCCTCTCTAGTGACTCTATCACTGGTTTACTGACAGCTGAAGAATAATACTGCCATGAAGGGAATGACACAATGATAAGGTTAGGTACCTCCTATTGCAATGCTGTCAGTGGCAGATGATACTCCATTAGATGCAGTACAGTTGTAAGTATCTCCATCATCTGCACCTTCTAGTGTCCCAGTGACACCAGAGTAGCTATCATTACCCATCCATCTCTGAGGGCCAACTGCGTGTATATTACTGAGAGGAGAGACCGCTCCATGTGGTCCAGTGACAGACATATTCAGAACTCTACCACCAGTGGAGATGCAGTGAACTCTGAATTGATCTTCAGTCACCACCTCAATGACTGCCTCCACTGACAGGACTGAAAATTCAAGTTATAATAGATTTCCAGATCCTCTCTGTTTCATAACTCACTTGGGTATAGTATGAGAAGAGACTTCTTGTTGTTGCTATCTCTGGGAATATGACATGTGAATTTCCCCTCCACAGCAGTCTTCGACACTCGCTTCAATCTCACTAGTCGATATAAAACACCGCTTACATTAACAGCATGTTTTCTGTTCCTGGTCTAGCCTCGATCACTGTCACCATCAATTCTCTTTCCATAGGCAGTGGTAGTATCAAAGTCAGTATCTAGATACCAGTCACCAATGTTTATCTCACGGAGTATCTCAATATCTTTAGTTGCGTGACAGAAGAGAGCATCCTCATCACTAGTACTAGTCAGTCCATTGTGGAGGCTGATATCAGTGATCAGAAGGCGTCCACTGCCATCAGTTGGGATGGAGTCTCCTCTGAGAAGAAACTCCACACCTGAATGGGATAGTAGATTCCCCAGGTTTTGCAATAGAGTATTGGATACTATATATACTCTATCATTCTTCATGAGATCGCAACTATCTTTACCTTCCACACTGGATGAGCTCCAGCACAATCCTAACAGAAAACCTATACAAACACAGAGTATCATAATAACACTGTCGCCTATCTGCTGGGAATGATAATCAGTGGTGGGCTCTTATAAAAGTTTGCAGTTTACTTGTGTCACATTATATACACAACAACTCCACAACTTGAATGAGCTAACATATGCACACATCAAGGCAAGGCCGAAAAGTGACGATTTGCAGTTTTGCAGCAGCATGTTGATAACATCATTCCCATGTCACAGTTCCTGTTCCCACTCCATCACTTATTAACAGCTTGACTATAGTGGAATATAGTGGAGCAACAGAATTAGACATAATTATCCACATTTTGAGTAGCTATGGAATACCTTCATACCTACCAACCATCAGCTTTTTGCTTGATAATCCCTGCCTATCCAACCAGAAAATCACCAAATTTCTCTTTGTGCTAACTTGCTAGCTATGCATTATGCCCATACATTATGAATGGCAACCAAATCAAGCAAGCAAAAATTTTTTGAAAGTTGGTAACCATCTATATAGTCCACCTACAAACCCCCAGATAATATCCTACATTCACAACACAGGTATTTTTACATAAAGGCGGTTCTCTTAAATTGAGACAACATACACAGGGTGACAATCAGACTGAGACAGAGAGGAAAAGCAATACACAAACACCACTGCATGGAGAAACACACAGAGACTGCAAACGTGAACTCCTCTCCAGAAGACAATAATAATGCAAGATACAGTGGATTGTACTTCTTTCGTATCTACTATTATATCTGGCAGTGGGGTCTATATTGATTATGGTAAAAAAAATCAAACCTCTTTTTTGCACATGCGCAACAATC